ATTAGATGATTTTCCATCCGCAAAAAAAAAGGCCGGTAAGCGCGTTAAGTTTTGCAGCACGTTATATCTCTTAACACGTTACATTACATGTCGTTCATTGGATAGATCGCGTGCTATATAAGAACATTATTTCGTAATAAGTCGCATTTTAGACTAAAATAAAATAAAGCGGTAAATAAAAACCAATGCACGCTTTTTCATACTTTTCAAGCTTACTTCTTTCTATAATCCTAAAAATATTTTTAAGTCATGTCATTTTAAAAATAGGATTAATTTGATTTTTAGAATCGAAATAAATTATTTTATTTATTTATTAATTATTTTTTATTATAATTGATTTAAATATTATTATAACCTTAATATAAATTATAAATCAAATAAAGGTGTATTTAAAAGTTTATTTATAGTATTTATAAAAATCAATTATTTACATACACTATTATATACACTTTTGTATCTATATTTTATTTACATTTAAAAAAATTAGTTAGGCTTCTTTTATCACAACTGTGTCCTTTGATCATTTATAAATATACAGTATACACTAACTAAACAACGTCTAAAATTAAATTAGGTCGCGCGCGATGAATAGCGCGCTACGAGATCAAATTTGCGTCACACGTCCTCTCCCAACAGCGCTGCTGCTATAACTAATTGCCGCTAGATATTAATACTTAACAGCGCCAAAGCGCCATAGCGCAATAGCGTCATGGCGACTACTTACATAGCACGCGCTGTGCAAGCATGTTATGAACAGATAGCGCGCTATAATATGGCGCTATGCGCTATATTAACCACCATTACTGTTATCGGGTTGCTCAGGCCGATCATTGACGACGTCACCGGCGTGGGCGGTGGTAAAGCGAATCGTACATGCGCAGGCACCACATCAGCTGCGTTGTCAGCGTTACTGTTGCGTGGCGTCGCTGTTATCATCGCATTCCTTTAACACATATGCAGGCGATAGAAACATGTACCTGCCTATCGGGTTGAATTAGATAAATCTTTGAAGCCCTTTTTATTACGCGGTACGGACCGTCGTAGGTTTAGTCAAAGGTTTAAGTATTGAATAGTCCCGAACAAAGACATATTCACGGTTAGGTAAGTCCTTGTGCACAAATAAACTTTGACAGTTACGTAGCTCATCGGATGTAGGCTTATAACTACGAATAGTTAAACAATAGTCGTTGACGATACGGTTGTTCGAAGAGCTGTCATATAAGTCTCCCGGTAGACGTAAGTTTCGTCCGAACGTTAACTCGGCGGCGCTAACCCCTGAGTTGCTGCGGGCGGCCGCGCGAAGCCCAAGTAATACTGTGGGTAGCTCTTCCATCCAGGACCCATGTGAAAGGCGAGCCGAAAGTGGTGTCTTTAAAGAACGATGCCAACATTCGACTGCGCCATTGCTTTGCCATCCGCAATTTATTATTGCGCATGGCAAAGTAGATTCGAGCTATTCCTTATTGGAGTAGCTCGAATTTTATTAACTCCAATATTTATAACAGCTGGTTAAAAAGACTACTCTCAAATTGGCGACATCGGTTGCTAGTTAACTTCATGGTGCAACCGTAACGACAAATCCAACCTTCATATAAAAAATGTTTGGCAACAGTTTCTGTCGTATTGTCGCGTAACGAAAAAGCTTCGGGCCACCTAGTCCTCCTATCAATTATCGTGAGTAAGAAAAAAAGTATAACCATCTGGTGAGATCTCAAGAGGACCAACGATATCCATGTGCACATGCTCAAAACGATCTAATTCCGGAAACTTAGTCAAACTCGATACCGTATGTCTGTTAATTTTAGAACGTAGACATTGTACGCACGTTTTTGCCCATAAAGAAACATCACGATTCATACTCGTCCAGAAATACTTTTTAACTAACATATTTCGTGTGGACCGAATTCCAGAATAGCTCAAATTACGCAGCATCAAAAGCTAGGCGTCGAAACTTTTCCCTTAGGTACGGACGAGCTGTATCAGTAGACATCGCACAAAAGACTTGTTTAACATAGGTATAACCAGTTCCTTCAACAAAACATTATCGGTATTTAAACCAGGCATAACATTTGTGATAAACTATCGCTACGCTGTTCATTTGCAATGTCATCGAAATTCAACGGAGTTGGCATAATCACGGCTTCGACGCGCGCCGTCGAAAGCGCGATAAGGTGTCGCCTACGGGCTACGTTATTATTCTTACCAGTTATATGTTTTATATTTGTAGTGAACTCACTTTTGAAAGCTAAATGTATCGTTCGCCGAGGCGTTTCGCTACCTCGCATACCCTGAAGTATACCACATCAGCAACAGAATCAGCAACAACGCTGGTATCGTCCGGTGAGAGCAAACCAATGATAGGATGTAAAAAAAGACCTCATCCTATCAGAAACGGCTTACCTATAGTGGCAAACATGGCGGCAGCCTGCAGAATGCAACCGCCTTTGATCATATACAGGTATATAATCAAAGGCAACCGCGCCACACTCCGAACAAGACAATGATTCGACGACTCACAGTGCATCATCTTCTTCTATCTTATGAAAAGAAATGATCGGTTTAGTTTGTTAATTAGGTAATTATTTATTACTTTGTCATTTTATTTGAATATAACCACAGTTTTATATTATGTCAACAAAAATTTATTCAAATGAAAGTTTATACATTGTTAGGTATTTTACATAAAGTAAATAATAAAATTTGACGGCTAGGTGGCGCAGGGGCTTAGCAATTCCCGCACGATACAAGTATTTGTATGGCCTACAAATAATTGTTCCTGGTCTGGATGTTAGTCCTTGTGCAATTGATGTTTGTAACTGTTCCCACAACAGAAAATCCTGGTGTGAGAAAATCACAGTGCCTGTTGAAAAAAAATACTGCGTATTTTTTAATTAATTAATTTTTGTTAATTAAATGATGTATAAAATGGGTAATAATTATTTTATTATAACTAAACATCCTAATATCTTTATGCATGATATAGTTTATTTACTGTTGCCACCCCTCATTGTAAATTTCTGATAAAGATAAAGATAAAAATAAATTTATTGCATAATTGTGTACAATATGATCTTAGTACAAAAGCATATAGTTTTAGGCTCAACAGTTAACCCATTCCGGATATTATGCAACAATAAATTTAAAGTTTACTACTTAATAACATTAATTTTATTAAAAAACTCATTGAGATTGTAAAAAACATTTTCAATTAACAATTTCTTTAATTTTGTTTTGAACATATTTCCATTTAATTGTTTAATTATTAAATTGCTGGTGGTAACTGATTGTATATACGAATAGCAGTAATATAGGTAGGTACTTTTATAGTAAATCATATTTTTAATAATTGGTAAGCTTATATCATATTTATATTGATTGCGAATGTTTTTCTTTGAATCAGATTTCAAATTAAAATATTGCATATTGTTTTTTACATATAGACATAATTCTAGGATAAAGATTCCAGTGAGTGTTAGGAAACCCTTTGTTCTACAAACACCTCTTAATGATTCGGTACTATGCATGTTATATATTGTTCTAAGACATTTTTTCTGGAGAAAGAATGTGGATTGTATATCTGTTGAGTTTCCCCAGTATATGATACCATAACTTTGAAGTGGATAAAACTGACGTAAAACTGAGTTAAAACATATAAGCTCCGACAATTGCCCTTAATCGCTTCAGTAAATAATCTGTTCCCCTTTTCAGTTTTTGTGTTATTACTTTATTTGGCTGAACACTCTTTCACACTCGGCATTAGAATTCGGAAGAGCCAAAATTCTCAGTATAAACTGGGCAATAAAACTAAACTCTTCAAGCTGCTTCACCTGTATTGTATGTAAGGAGAAAAAAAATGTACAGAATGCTCAAAACTAGGTAAACTACTGATAAAATTCTTTTATCTTTTTGCTAAATATTTTTTTTAGTTTCGGCAATTTCCGCCAATGATCGTCTATTTGTTGTAACTCGGCCAAAGCACTGGTGTCAATCCAATCCAATACTAGACAATTTAAATGACACATAATATATAACATTAAACTTAAACTATGGCATATCCAACTCAATTTACCTAAATAATACTAACTTCTATGGTACGGGCAATACGAGGAATACATGAATACCCTATTCTCTTTGTGTTTTGGTGTCGTTCATAATTTAAGCTATTTTTCATAAGAACGTTCATTATGTAAAGAAATTTAATTTTTTGTTGAAAAATTTATACTGTATACACTGTATTTACAAAAATACGGTATCCAGTAGACGGCGTAAAAATACGGCAGATCTACTATAATTACAGTGTATCTGGCAACGCTAGTTTGCGGTTATGTTTTGGCTGTCGTTTGCGTGTTCAGTAGCCAACCGTTATCTACTGTTATCGATATCTGAAAACGGTTTTCAATTCAATAACGATATAACATCAAAATACCGAAAACGCCCATGATTCAATGTAGGACGTACTTGGAACCCCTGGTTAATTGACGGTAACGTGACTCACTCACATGAGGTCACGATACCTTTAAAAAAAATTTGCAACTATATATCAACTATTGTTAACTAAATACGCTGATAGAGGCATAGTTGAGGGGTGTAATTTCAAAACCCACTAAACTAACTTTAGGAAGTTTTGTACGAGAAGTTTTTATTGATTTTACTGTAGTTAATTTAACGCGAAAGGTAATAATTCATGATAAATTGGTTGCTACGGTATTGTAATCCTTATAAATGTGAAAAACCTTTTCATATTTAAGAGCATTTTCAAGAAAATTTAAAATTCAATTCTATTATGGAGGAATTTGCAGACAAACTGTCATTATAATGGATTTTGAAAATTAACTGTCATCCTATAGAGGGTTTTGCAACTAACCTTTAATGCTCGATGGATGGTGTTATGCTATGAAGCCTAGAAAACAATCTCACTTAACTGTATGTAGCTATGTATGAAAATGTACAAATTAAAAAAAAGAGCGGGAACAATTTGTTTATTGAAAAAGAAAAAAAAATTAAATGTGTGCAGTTACGTCTTGGAAACCATGCTCACATAAGTCATTGTTCATGTTGTCGATGCCATGTGATGGTATGTAAGTTTTATTTTCTATATCAACATAATATTTTAGTTGAGGCAAATCCCTCCATTCTCCACCAAAATGTTTTTGAAGTAAATCACAAACATCTTTCACTTTGGCTTCGTTCGGTAGTATAGTGTTTGGTGATAACATTTGTGGTATAATCATTGTTATTTTTTTGTTTTTCTTTGTTATAATTTTTTTTTTATTAATTTCATTGCGGTAAGTTTCTTCCCCTTGCACCAATATATTTTCTGTTTTAGTACGAGTAAGGAAAAATCGTTTGCTCCTCATGAATGGAAAGTGCCAGGATGATGTAGGTTTTATCACGGGATCATAAGCTGCCTTCCAATCATAAACTGGTATCGTTGCCAGATTGATGCACGTTCCATTTTCTTGCAAAACTTCGGTGTATTCCGAAGGAGTAACAACCACTTCTTTGGTTTTTAATGTCCTCTCAATTTTAGCGAAAACACGATCGGGAGGAATGAAGGAGTGTCCTACCACTGGAAAAATAATCTCAATTTTTTTCACATTCCGAGGCGCTTCACTATACAACCATTTACCTAGCATGCTAACCATTCCCGTATTTTTATTTTGGCCGGAACATCCATCACAAACTACTCTTAGTACCTTCACGTGCGATTCTATAACGGTTCCTTGCAAGAAGTGGTAAACTGCACTAATAATTTGGTTGCTGCCCTTAGCATGATTCAACTCAGTCCAATAATAGGAATGCACATTTTCCTTTGTCAGTTTTGTTTTTGAATTTCCTTGTACTATGGCAAAATGGTAGAAATTAAATTGCCTGCTAAAATAAGCCGACTGATCGGGCAGTTTCGGAAGCGGTTGGTTTTTTTGGCAATCAAATGTAATTGTTAAAATATCTTTATTTTCTTCTTTTATAATGTTATAGAAAGCTTTGTATTTTAACCTGTGGATCCTCTTTTCTATCATTAATTCATTTCTCTTTATAGGACTTTTTTCATTTTTCAGGCGTTCTTGTAATGAAATGCACGTGGAACATACATCTGTTCTGGGAGACCCAAAACCAAAGTTGTACGAATTATTTACAATTTTTCTAAAAAAACTTTGCTTAACTTTTAAATCCTCATCTCTTTCTTGGTTGTACATCCGCCACATCTTTCTAATATTCAACCCTGATGGCAAATAAATTCTGTTTGTTTGCGATCTGCAATAGTGACTCTCGATCCCTTTAAATTTTTCCAAAAACCAATCTACTGACAACCTCTTCGCTTCATATTGTTCACTTTTCCTATCTCCTCCTCTATTTTCTTTTAATGGAGAACCATCGCTCAAATAAAAACGTTTCATCACTCCCCTGAACCCTATCTTTCTTTATTTGAAGCGAGTCCAAAAATGTTTTTTGACATACCGGTTTTCGACCACCTCCACTGACAGGTATATTGTACTTAATAGTTAATTTCCGTTTACTGTTTGGATTATTTTTTATGGTTTGATTGACAAGACAATATCTTAACAAAAAATTATCTTGATCGATTTTGGTCTTACATTTATAAAAATTTCTATGAAATTTTCGGATGTCTTGACAAGAAACTAGGTTGCACCGAAAAGCTTTTTGATTATGGTCGCAAGAAGGAAATTTCGGGAGTGATTTTGGCTCATATCTAAAACAAAAATAGCAATAAAAGTTTGGGAATAGTAATACTTGACGAATTATTTTGGGAGCTGACCTTTTTTAGCTACTGAAAAAAGGCATGATAGGTAATTGAAATAGATGCCAATGGCACTCATTAACTTTTCATTATTATTTTTCCCCATTCTTTTAGTAAATAACTTACAAATAAATAATAATAGACCCCAAACAAAAATAAATAAAAAATATTAAAGTAAAAAGTTTAAATAACTATGTGCCATTGACACCTATTTCATTTACCTATATACCCAATTTTTTTAGACAGCTTAAAAAGCCAGCCGGTATACTACTCAAAACAAAATAAGGTTCACTCCAACTCTGTGTTTTTGTTAAAATACTAATTAATTGATTAATATTTATTGTTAAGTAGTTACTAATAAATACAGAGAAGAGAATACACAGAAAAGTTTTCTACATTGGCCCAACCGGGAATCGATCCCGGAACCGCAGAGATGGCAACGCCAAGTCGAAAATTTTCGCTTTTCGGCTACAGAGGTCGTCAATTGAAATAATCGAACATGTTTTGAAAATAGTATATTAATAGCCTTTAAAATACGGAGGCCCTTATTTTATTTTAAGTAGGTAAGTATCTACTTTACTTAGAAAGTAACATAAAACAGTAAACATTCATGTCAAAACGGTATGTTTTCCTTAATTCCAGTGAGTCTCCTAATTGCGAGACTTACCTACATTACTTCATGTTGCATAAAACTTTCTAACGAACTTTTTAAGTAAGTTATAGGTAAGATTGTACTCACCGTTTTCGGCGCTCCTTTTCACGTTTCCAAGATTTTGGATTGCGTGGACGCTTCCGAGCATATTTAGGATCACATTTTTTGACAAATTGAGCTAGATCATCCATGTTTTTTGGTAAATTTTAATTAAAAACCGCGAGCAACTGCTATCAGCACAACCAAAATCGCCATACTGTTTTTCAAGTCACGTGTTTGCAATGCGTCGCTCCGATTGGTCGATTTCATTTTAGAGGAATTTGATAGTAACACTCGATATTTTAGCGGCATTTGCAACTAATGTTGATTTTCAAACTGAATTTACTGTGTATTTTAGCGGAGTTTGAAAATTAACATATGGTGTATAGCAAAGGAAATTTCAAGATCTTTCTTTTGATACAAAAATGTAAAAATGTATACAAAATCATTATAGGGGGTTTTGAAATTACACCACTCAGTTATGCAATCAGCTATAAAACATTATAACGTGACGTAATTTATCACTAACGCCATCTGGTTTAAATAAAAAGTACTGTAAATAAATTTTGTATTACTATATGGCGTACTATATGGTGGCGGAGTCAGCCAGACCTACTGGCCGTCCCTAGATGTCGCACTAACTTACTGCGAGAGGCACCCCTGACGCGAGCGTTTCGAACGTTAAACCTGATCGACAGAGAAACAGATTTATTCTTTTGTACTCTGAACAAATTCACAAAACTTGCTTTATGGATGATTAGCTATAAGTTGATACAGTAATATAGGTAAAATAGAATTGTAAATGGTGCTTTATCTATCGCATTGGGTAGAAACCTGTAATGTTAGATATAACCTCTTCAGACCCCCCGGTACACATACGTGTACCTTAGAAATTTTTAAATAAAACTAGTGATTCCATCATGTGACGAGTAGCTGTATTTTTATCGTCTTAACAAAAGACTGTATTACCCTAAAATTACAATAGATGGCAGATGCTGTCGAAATAGGTTTATGAAAAATCATTTCATCAAAATGCATTTTTAGACCATCTTAACTCTATAAATTCTAAAATTCAGTTCACAATTGAGTTAGAGGCAAACAATTCCTTAGCTTTTCTAGATGTGTTAGTAATTCGGAATCCTGATTAACACCTTGAGCCATACTGTGTATAGAAGAAAAAAGACCCATACAGATAGATATTTAAACGGTGATTCTCACCACCATCCTTCACAGTTAGCTACCGTGCGTAAATCTTTGTTTCAGAGACCACGAGGGATCTGTGACAGTAAACACCTGGCTGCCGAGCTCCAACACGTCAAGCAAGTTTTGCATGACAACAAGCTTCGGATCCCGCGCCTACGTCACAGAGAACGAGTGAAGCCGGCCACAGTCGAGCGTGTACCTGCTGTACTGCCATATGTTAGAGAAGTCACTGACAAGATTGGCTACATCTTGAAGCGCGCTTCCATCAAAACATACTTCAAGCCGACGAAGAAGATTGGTCAGTTTTTACCATCAGTCAAGTGTAACGTCCCTCTGCAAGATGCAGGAGTGTACAAGCTTGATTGTGAATGTGGTCTCTCCTACATAGGACAAACTAAAAGATCAATTAAAACCCGCGTTAAAGAACATATAGCTGATGTGAAGAATCGACGCTCCGGGAAGTCTGCAGTCTGTGAACACGTACAGGATCACACCCGTCACTACATTAGATTTGATAGACCACAAATCCTCGCTAAAGAACACCGATTCCTTCCAAGGATGATTCGCGAGGCTATTGAAATCAAAAAACATCCTAATTTCAATAGAGAAGATGGCTGGGTGCTACCATCTGCTTGGGATCCTATAATAAATAAAATTAAATCCCAACCCAAGCATACAACTGCAAGACTTCATGATACCATAAGTTCATACTGTGTAGATCGGAACAAAAGTTAAATTTTAATCTGTGGTAACCGCGGTTAACTAGGGTGCTGTAAAGCTCTCGAAACGTCGGTTATTAAAAAGTTAAATATACGCGATAAATTCCGTAAAAACTAGTATTATTTCAATAGTTATATGAATATCATCATTTCTCCTTCACAAGGTTGTTGACGTTTTTTTAGTTTTTTTTTTATACGTAATAGACAACGGTAACTAGAAAAGAACAGAACGTTTTATTTATGTTTCAATAAAATTCAGCGTTTTATTAATATTGCTTAACGTTTTTAATAAATATTAAACTCGGATACCAACTAAGAGATGACTTGCTACGGAAGAAGTGTTCAGCAATAGAACTTAAAAACGTTTGATTTAGAATCAATTTTGCTAAATTTTGTTTTGGCAAGATGTAAAAACCATTTAAACTGTCCGGCTATTGAGGTAGCATTTTTTATAGGTCCCCAAGTAATATAATATATAAAATTAATCTTTTATACTGTAACGAAAGTATAATTATAATTAATTACATTTTAGGGGTGTCTGGCGGGGGGTAGCAACTGTCATAACTGTCCGGAAATGGATGAAGAATTTCTAAAGTTATACCGAAGAAAATATAAACTAAAATTGAGCTTTATATTTTAACGAATTTAAGGTACTATTTTATACAGCTTTACTACCAGTTTTACGTGCCCTAATAGCCACAACCCATAGTCTATAGTCGCTGGTCGTTCTTACCTGTATAGGAGACATGCACAGAAAAACTTTCAGCTTTTATAAAATAACGAAGGTCTATCCGTCGTGGGCTCTTACGCTACTGCCACTATAACTCAATGACTGCCACAGTTTCTCAAATCATCCAGGGTTAACTTGTAGAGAATGCCATAAGACAATAAGTCTAAAAAAAGATGAAATAAATGAATAAATTAATAACTGGTACTGAAGAAGCTGGCTGTGATAAAACATGTAAATACAATAGTAAAAAAAGCTTAAAATTTAAAAGTTTGTTCTACGTACTTGAAAACCTTTTTCGAAAATAAACTGCATCAAAGGTGTTTCTTACGCTAGTAGTATTTGTTCTCCCTATTATAATACGCATGAACAATAAAATAAAAGAATACAGACAAAGTTTATAAGGCATTTGAATTATAGCATTCACACGTATATATAGTACTATACTATACTTACCATATTATACGTTGTTAGAAAATAAACGTAAAAAATGATGTTGGTGTTTGATATAGACAACGGCTACCTAGATTCTCCGGTTTTACTATCTGCAGTAAACAATAAGACATACCCCATTATTTGCCCCAAACTTTAGAAATAACAATTACGCAGTAAACTCACTTTTGACTCTTATTAAATTTCCTCAATATATTATAATAAATAAGATTCAAACCTAGATATACTTTACAAGTCCAAAAATAAAATCAAATAAAAAGTTCTCAAGCTCCTGCAATAAATAACTTATCTATTTGTATTGGCATATACCTTTACCTTTTATTAGAATATTAAAGGATATTTATCTTTTATATTTATATACTGAATGATTTTTTTTACTGTCTGGAAAAAATAGGTTATATATTACTTACAGGTTATAGGTTTTAGTATTTATAGGAATACAAGCTTATGGCACTGATTTTAAAATTTTATTTTTATTTTTCCTTAACGCATTATGAAATTGCCTGCTGTTTAAATAAATAACTTTGTACAATTATATTATTTTTTACTGTGTCCTACGTAAGTATTTTCTAATTTCCTAATTTTTATTTGTTTAGCATCTCTTGCAATCTATCATTTAAGATTATATTTTTCTTTTTTAAACCTCCACTATC